GTCACTACATGACCACCACTGTCTTAGCTGTCAGAATGTCTTTCATCTTCTTACTTGGACCCAAGGAGAGTGATCAGTATCTCGCTGTTGTATCTATCTCATATCTACATGGCTTACAGCGCTGGTTCCCAGCCATTTACCCATTTACTGAACCTTAAGGCTATCCCAAATCATTCCCATCATCTGGTGATTCACAAGATCAGGGGAATGATAGGATTGTTTTTTCTCCCTATCTTTTCTCAACTTTTGTAGAAGTTCTTGGAAAGTCCTAATCCTGCTTTAAGATGGCTCCCTGGGTGGTCTGTCAGCTTTGTAAAGGAGTTTGATGTACTATCATTGGATTTCATGATTTCTCTGAACATAAAATATATTTTGAGTTTAGAAAAGAAAATCAACAACAGGCATCACAGTATTGACATATTTGTTAAATGGACAATGAGATTTGATGAATCTGTCCATTGATTCAGAAGATATGGGGTCCCCCATTTGCCACACAGTGTTTAAAGGCTTGATCAGTGAGGGTCTTTATATGTTCTGAAGTGCCTCTGGCAGCTAGTAAGAGCCAAGGTATCATAGTTTGTGCTGACTTGTTATTAAATCTGTTAAATCTGGACGCATTTACCTTTTGTCATGCCAAGAATTATCCAATATAGACTACATTCCTCTTGAACTAGATATGTGGAAGTTTAGTAAGTATTTGCACCTGTTTATGTTTACCAGTGGTACAACCTGTCGTTTGATATTTAGTATGGAAATGTAATTTATAATTTTCTTCAAATCCAAAATGATCAGCAGAAGGATTAAGTTAACTGTATTTAGTGGAAAAACCACAGGTTTACTTGCAACATAAGGGCAGTATGGCTTATGGAAACCACTACTTTCAATGAAGCATAGTCACTTGTGCTTTGTGTTATGAGGGAATGATAAATATGCTAACTGCTCTGAACTAATGACATTTAGGGTACTACTTTGTTGATTCAATACCGTAAGATTATATTGTGTTGTCAAAATGCAATATTATACTTCATTATAAACGGAACTGGCTTTTACACTCTTTACACTTATGGTAGGTGGCCATGGTTGACCATCATGTAAACAGCTGTTCAAGAGGTGATAGCACATCTGGCATCTGACTGAAGTCTGTTGTTGGATGTCATTATTAACAGACCTCTAAATCCTATCATCATTACCTAACACATGATCTCAGGTTACTGTTAATGAGTTCATTATGTGTTAGTCTATGTCCTTTGTCTGCAGCACTACCAGTTAGCTGCTTGACAGTGGGGTTTTCAAGAATAGGTGTTAGCCTTGATGTTTATTGCAGCAATGGCTGGTAACCTTTTAAGTAAAAACATAGCAAACTCATATATTGTGTTATTTAGTGTTTGGTGTATTACCTGTAAATTGAATGCTCCACACATGCAAAGCATGTTTACAGCCACACAAATTATCATCGTCCATCATTGTGAATACCAAGATAAGGGCAATAGCTCAATTAAGCTTTTTTAAAAAGTAGTAACCAAACGCCAGTAACCCTTATTTACATGTTTTTATTACTGAAATATGTCATGTTTAGAGAACACATTTTTGAAAATGAAAGTACATAACACCATATTAATTTTAAAACAGTAAAGGTGTTAAACGTGACATTTTCAATAAGGAAAGTACAGGTTTACTCCTAGTATGAAATAGAATTTTCTAATGTGACTCTGTAAGGGTTTGTCAGTTAGCTTCATTCATGATTTTGTGGCAGATGCAGACATCTACATCGTCTGTACGGGTGTGTGGTTTTCATGCATGTTGAATTACATACGTGCAGTACAAGGGCACATGCATGGCACAGTAGGAGGGTGGCGTGAGGAGAGCTCCCTCCACATGCATGTGCTGCATGTTCAGCTGTCACTGAACCACAGAAGCCCCCCCCCTTCCATTCCCCTCTCTCTCTTACAATGTTTTCTTTACCCTTGCCACCCCTCTGCCCTTACTGTATTTCTGTCCTCCCTTTCTCCTGCCTTTCATTTCTCCTCCTAGCTCTGTACATTCATGACCAACTCTGCATTTATTCTCCTGCTGTATCCGAGTCATCCCTGGCTCTCAACTGTGGTGTTGTGGCATGAACTTAAGATGACAGTGATTCGACCCCCTGAAGTGTAAGGGGTCCTGGGAACCAGCTGGAAACAGAGCAAATCTAGTACCAAGGATCAGCAGTACTATTGATTACCTTGCTTTACAAACTTGATCACACCTGGGCTTAGCTGTAGAGAAAGTGTTTTGTTTTCTCAAATGTGGCCATAAAGCCCTTCTCCTAGACTTAGTAGTTAATTTGTTGGCAGTTGATGTAACGTCGTGTCCCTAGTGTCTTACATCCTGACTCAAAAGGATCTTAAGCAACTGACACATTCAATACTTCAATACCCTTCACCAGTCATCTGACACAAGTCTACAGCACGCATTACACAGAGAGGCTAGCATGGCAGTAGCCATGTGCTTGGCATTTAAAATGCTGTCTCGCACAAGACAATGTCACCCCTAGGTTTGCCTTCCTCCACATCCTGGCTGTATCCCCCAGCTTCAGCTCTAGCCCTCTATACTGGCACAGCTATGACACCCCTATGTATCTCATTCAGCCATAGAGAATGGGGCTAGTGAACCGAGCAGCCCCCCAACACTGGCCTCTGCCTGCACCTGCAGGCCCAACTGATGGTTGGAAAGCTGGAAGGGAAAAAGGGTGAAGTGAGTTTATGATATAAAGTGGCTTGGATCAAGTTTTTAAAAATAAAGCTTGGGCAAGAGTGTGCTATACTGTGTGGGTGTAAAAATAAAAGAATAATGGTCACTGTAAAGCTAATTTCTGTGTTGGATAACCACCATGATTTAGCTTGGTGAATTCTTTGGGCAGTGAGGATGGAGAGAAGGAGACTGAATGGGGGTTACCAGAGAACTATTGGCCCCCCTGCAGGTCATTCAGTCATTCATAAGATGAGGCCATTTCATAGACCTCCCTCTAC